ATCTAACGCATAGCAATTTAGTTATGCATTGGCAATTCAACCATGCCATTATAAATATACTTATTTATTTATTAGCAATTCAACCATATCTCTTTAAGTATATTTACTTATACCACTAATTAGCAATTAAACCATACTTCCCATATATGAAATTTATTCATAACTAATAAGGCAATATATTACAGTCTTTGGTAACTCATCCATACCTACAATTCAACCATGTACCAACCTTAAACTTAATTATAAGCTTAATCATACATAGACTTCACATGCATATTATAAGCATGTCCTTAATTTAATAACCACTCTATTACGATTTTAAATCAACCATACCATCTACAAATCAAAATATACCAAATAAGATTTATAATATTTAATAATCATAAATGATATATATATATATATACACACACACATATATTTTATAATATATATGTGTATAACACATTCCATAATAATCGTTGATTATTTAATTCACATATATACACATATATCAATACATATATATATAGACAACCATCCATACTTATCATAAATTTATTAAACTATATATATGTGTGTGTGTGTGTGTGTGTGTGTATATATATATATATATATATATATAATTGTAATTTTGGAATACGGGTTGATCAAATCCACGCACAAAATCAGTGGGTATCACAGCTACCAACTAAACCTACAAGATCAACCTTGTCCCAATCATTTCAATCGTCAGTCTATCTCTTTGAATCCTTAAACAACAAGCACTATATCCCCATACCACATACGCAACGTAAAATTCAACTCCAGTCTACAACTTTCAACTTCCAAAACATAGTCCATTTGGTAACACAGTACCTACCATCCATCACTTCATCCGCAACAACCAAACATACCGATGACTACATAATACCTGCCTTATCATGCAATCCTACACTACACAGCTAAAACTAACCACTATACACCACCTCGAGACTCTCTAAACAGCTGTGCCAACCCAGAAACCCACTCATCGACCGAGCTATGCAATCGACTCACCGAGAGTCAATTACCTGTAGCACACTCCTGTAACTCTCCGAAATGGGGATCACCCTCGACAAACCAGTCTCTAAAACAGACTCTTACAAGACCACGAAATGATCTACATCCTGCAACCGGTCCTATATCACCCTAGACCTACAGAATCCAATAAATCCCTACGACAGTCAGAACCAACACACTTTCCTAGACCGTACCAGAAAATCCGAAATACACCTCTACAACCCATAGACTACATTCGTGACTCAAACAACTTCTGTCACACCTACCACGACCGGTTCGAAAAGAACCTCAGCACCAAACCGTAACCCAAGTCACAAACACTAACCTCCTAAGGTCATACCGAAACTCTCACTCGCACACTGGACCTCCACGGTCACCAGAACCTATACACCAATGCATGAAACTCACATACAACAAGGGCACCATGCCATGAAATATGAACCCGCTCTAAAGTCATGCTCTAAGCACCGCACAAAATGCAATAAGAAGATCAAATTGAATACACACCAAATAGCTCAATCCACGAGCTAGAAGTCAACACCTATAGTTTGATAAGAATCAGTACCCAACAACCCTGGAGCAACCGAGCTCCTTTCCTACTTAGGTCAAAACTTACACAACATTCAATGCCATAACAAGTACTCTACCATACTAGCAACCACCCCAATGCTCATCCGTATAAGCATATAAGAATAAATATGAATAAAACCCACCATACCATGTTCATTACTTGTCACTTAATCATAAAAGAAAATTGCACCAACCGTGCCTATTACTTGCCACAGTCATGTATCACATACTTTCCACCTTATCATGTATAACATGCTTTCAGATACTTTCACATTTCATTTACATTGTTGGATCATATAATTATTCTACATACATGGCTATGTAATACAAATTTTAGTATTTAAACACGTAAGCATGTGAACACTTAGCAAATAAGCATGTCTTTTAAAACCGTAAACATATAAGCAATTAAGCAAGTAAGCATGTTTCTCAGACAACAAACACTTTGACACATAAGCACATAAATAATGCAATCCACCTTCCACACAACCCTAAGTAGGCCTCTACCCGTCGTCCTACTGTTTTTTGAACCATTGCTCTGATACTAAATTTGTAACGACCCAAACCCGAGGGTCCGAATCGCTAACTGGGTCCTTATCCGAACCCGAGGTCAATTAAGGGCACTACCGTCATTTCCTATGTCAATACGTAATAATAATAATAATAATAATAATAATGATGGGATCATAGCCATAAAATATGTCAAAACAATCCACTAACCCGTCAAAACCTATGGAAGAGCGTCGTCCGCTACTTCCCTTCCGTATCCTGAAAAATGTTAATAATGGAGTGAGCTTAATGTCACGAGTAGCGGGGTGTGACATTAAGCTCAGTAAGAAGTGTCTAAGACATACCTTTTATGACCCCGTGAATCTATGTATAGAATAGAACATAAGAGAACGGGATCATACTATACCGGGTATGTAAACCATAACCACAATATCTAATATAAACACAAATGTCATCCAAGTCACATATTCATCATGTATGCCGATGAAGTGCAATGCCATGCTCATGTCGCTCCCCATTTCCGAAACATTTCCGTTTCAACTTCTAAATCGTTAGTGTAATCCGACCCAAGGCACCTCCAAGGCGTCATGAGGGAGGGGTTGGCTAGTTTTTCCCAAACCACATGGCACCTCCATGGCGTCGTCTAGGTAGCTCAACCACACTAAAGTCTCTCTCTAACCCCCTCTACATCACACTAACATCACGGACCACTAGACGCCTCCTAGGCGTCCGGTTTTCACAAACACTTTCAAAAACGTTTTCCCAAAACAATTTCATTGGTTTTAAAAAAATACTTTTCCCTTTTTTTCTTTCCCAATGGATGCATGAATACTTCATGCTTCACAATTTACCATAATTTCCACATCATTAAACCTTAACAACTTTCATAATAAAGAAGAATTTTCTCATGAATTTATAGCATGCTTTAAGTCAACAAAATTTCTACAATTACACATATTACACAAAGATATAATCACAAAAGCATGTTTTCCATATCCAATCAACAAATCATACGCACATATATTATTTACACATAACACACATAGAAACACACATCATATATCTAGCATCATGGCAATTTTTCAAGAAAAATTTACAATAAATCCCATCCATTCCATCGACATCACAATCACATTATTAACGGGAAATCCTAACATTTATTTTCATAATTTCAAAATTACTTTTCTTAACAATTAAAAATCATGGGGTATCTAAAATATCAATACTAAACATGTATCTTCACCATCAACTATATAATCATAATCATGGGTTCAATCAATTAACACATATAATACATCCATCACCTTAATTACATACAATCATAACAACATAGGCAAAATTGTTAAAATCAGACATGCTTAGAATCAAATTAAAAGTAAAAAATTTACAAAAGATCAAAGAAAATATGAATTAGAGCACCCCTACCTCACTTAGATGCAAAAAACCCTAAATGGGTCCAAAAATTCAAAATTCCTAGGGTTGGCCAAATGAGGAATTGTTTGTATCAACATAGATCTTGCCGTGCTCTCCGTTTTGCCGCAAACGGTAACCAAAAATTCTAAGGGATGAGAAACAAATTGAAAATGGAAGCTTTGATGAAAAAAATAAATAAAAAGAACCAAGAATGAGAGAGAGAATTAGAACCTGCGGGAATGAGAGACCAAATTGTGATCTCATGGCCACCAAATAAGCTAGTGGTGGGTCCCACCACTTTCAATAATCTTTTCCTTTAATGTAAATACATATATATGTATATATATATTTATATAAATCACAAACATTACAAATATTATACCAAATATTTTGATTAAGGTTATAACTTTATGTAATGGATCATGTATTATGATGTTGTTGGGTATTGTAAGGTTGTATTATATGATTTCATATGTGTTTGGGCAAGATTTATTTCGTGTAAAGTTCCATAATAGGCTTTTGTGCATTTTATTGTTCATAGCAGTTCAATTGAAATTAAGCAGCTCGCAGGACTATTTCGGTCAACCGATTCCTCTAGTGGCCTCATTCACTGTTCAAACCACAACCGGCCGACTGAAATGGCCACTTCGGTCGACCGAAGCTCCATTTCGGTCAACCAGTTTGCTGTTGTTTGGTGCATCTTGTTCCCTCTTTCAGTTTATCTAACTAGGAGTCTTGGAAGGTCACTTACGGTTTTAACGAAGTATATATATAGAATGTTTAATGATATAATAGCACTGAACTTAATGACATTGACTCAGTTAACCTCGAGTTCGGGTAAGGACCCGGCTAACGGTTCAGACCTATGAATTCGGGTCATTACAGTTCAAAATTTTCAATTGCCATTTCGAGCTAGACTTGGGTTGAGAGATTTGTAACCCGAGCCCAACCTAAAACCAGAATCCATCTAATGCGTGTTAACTTAAATCTACAGTAAAATATTGTCATTGTTATTTCGCCGACCTTGTTGTCTTTTGTCATCCTACTCGTTTTGGTAAAGCTAATGCTGAGGCACTCTAACCAAAAGTCGACTTAGACCCGAATTTAGGCAACAATGTTCATAATGCGAGTTAAGTCTGGACTCTGGATTGACCTCAACTCGCTGGAGTTGCGGTCACCTATAGTTTATTGAGAGAAACAATATTTGTATAAAAATTAAATTTGATAACTATTAATCTTCTGACAAAACAAGTGTACTGTTCATAATAATATATAACTCGTGGTCATCATTATCATCATCGTCGTCATCATGTCTTTAATCTTTTTCTCACGACGGACAGCGAATAACAATAATTATAATAATAATAAAAAATGAATAATAAAACTAATAAGTTGAAACTTGAACCCAACTCATGTCGTAGGAACCTAGCTTCAAATAGTCAACGGTCAAAGAGAAAAAAATCATTTGAGGTCTGATCATCCCGCTTGTTCCTCCTGTCCAAGACTTCAACTCATTCTCTCAATCATCCATATGCGTGGCTCTAAACTTCTCACTTTCCGACTCTCTTCTCTCCCTCTCCCTCTCTCCACCGGCAAAGCCATTCGACTCCGCCGAGCTCCCGCACGCAATCTTCAACAACAATATGTCAGCAATAATACTGAATGAAACTTTGGTCTGTTACACGCACACAAGCTCCAAGTCTAGAGGCATCTTCAACGGTGACAATCCGTTCGATTTCGCGACACCGGCTATTCTGATTCAGCTCTCTCTCTGTTCTTCACTCACTGCCATCTTGCATTTTTTTCTTTCCCCGCTCGGTCAAACCACCTTCAATTCGCAGTTGATTGTAAGCTGCTTTTCTTCCTTCACGTACTAATTGCTTACCCTATTCATGCCATTCACTTGCAACAAACTGTTGTTTTCTAAGCAATAACTAACATTTTCTTCTTAAATTTTGAAACTATATACATACAAATGATTCACAATATACCAAAGCATAATAACTACACACACTTAGAGGAACATAAATTTTGTGTACTATTATGCTTTGGTATATGTGATGCATGAAGTATATGTCATAATATTGGATGCAAACATATATTGTAATTCACTAGTGAGCGTTCGAGTCCTGTTAGGGGGCAATATTTATACACCGTCTCTCTAATGTGTGTCCTGTTTTATGTTAATGAACAGGCGGGTATGGTACTGGGGCCATCAATTATGGGAAAAAACAAAAAATTCAGAGAGTTGATCTTCCCTGTCCAAAGCTTGTATGTGAGCGAAACATTCGCGTGCTTCGGTCTGATGCTCTTCCTGTTCCTTGTTGGAGTGAAAACAGATCTATTCATCATACTGAAAGCAGGAAGAAGAGCAGTATTTATAGGCATATGTACCTTCTTCTTGCCCTTGATGTTCGACTTGTTTCTCGCTAGGATACTAATGCATCAACTCAACATGGACAAGATTTTGCATAACTCGCTTATCTTTGTTGCATCAATGCAGTCCTTGACTTCTTTCCATGTCGTCGTCTGCCTCCTTGCGGATCTAGAGCTACTCAATTCAGAGCTTGGCAGGCTAGCCGTGTCTTCGTCAACCATCAGTGGCTTGTGCAGTTGGCTTTTGGCATCAACCATCTTTGCCGAGAGGCAAAGCGAGCAAGGAAGGCCCGATACATGGCTGTTAGTGACGTATGCTTTTGCATTTTTGCTGTTTGTCATCATATGCATCTTCAGACCTATAATGCTCTGGATGGTTCGAAGAACAGAACACGAAAAAGCAGTCAACCAGAGCTATATATTTGCTATCTTTCTTATGGTATTGGGATGCTCCTTCTTTGGTGAACTTACCGGGCAGCATTATTTGTATGGACCGATGATTTTGGGAATTGCAGTACCGGATGGACCACCCATAGGTTCCGCCCTTGTTAACAAGCTAGATACATATGTTTCGTCAATTCTCCTCCCAATCTACTTTGTTGTCACCGGTGTCGACGTTGAGATCTCTTCTATACATCTCAAGAACTTCGGAATCATTGAGCTACTGGCTTTTTTCGGATTCATGGGGAAATTAGTGGGAACCATGCTGCCTTGCCTCTATTGTAAAATGCCTGTTGGCGATGCGCTGGCTCTAGGGCTTGTCTTGAGTGTCCAAGGCATCACTGATGTTCTACTTCTGTCGCGAGCAATGGAGCTTAATGTAATGATCAATGGCAAACAATTTAAGCTTCATTTTCGTTACACTTTTCGTTAATTGGACTGCAATATTTCTCTTAAAGGGCATAGGGTGTGTTGATCTTCTTCAACCAAATTAAAAAGAACACTACTTTTGATTTCATTGAAGTATATATTCTTGCATCTTATCAACCCTAATTCCAGCATGTTTGTGCTCTTTTTGGTGCAGCTCATCGACAAAGAATCTTATAGTATCATGGTGATATCAATACTTCTATTCAGCGGAGCCATTTCACCGATTGTGAAATTTCTCTACAAGCCATCAAGGAGATACATGTCCTACAGGAGGAGGACCATTGAACACGTCAAACCTAATTCTGAGCTCCGGATGCTCGCATGCATTTACACTCAAGATCATGCTCCATCCATCATTAATCTCCTCGCAGCCTCAAATCCAACATCCAAAAACCCCATTTGTGTCTACGTTGTTCACCTAGTCGAGCTAGAATCCAGAGCTGCACCACTCCTCGTGGCTCATCACCCCGGAAGGAGGATTCATATTCACCTGCATGATTCTGAGCACATAGTAAATGCTTTCAGGTTATACGAGCAGCACGACAATGGCATGGTAAGGGTGAACCCTTACACAGCCATCTCGCCTTATGCATCAATGCACGACGATGTCTGCACACTTGCCCTAGATAAGGGGGTTTCCATAGTGATTGTGCCATTTCACATGTTTTTCAGCCTCGACGAAAGCGAAGAGTCATCTCCTGCCATCAGAGCTGTGAACCGTATCATCCTCAAAATGGCTCCTTGCTCTGTGGGGATCTATGTTGATAGAGGCACATTACCCAGTGCCACTCATATGTTGATGACAAGCACAACTTCATATCGCATTGGGATGATTTTCTTCGGAGGGCAAGATGACAGAGAGGCATTAGCATTCGCTATTCGCATGTCCAAATGCCCCAATGCAAGTCTCACCGTGGTTCACTTCGTTGAGACTGGCAAGAAAAACAAGACTAGTACAGACTCAGAGCTAGACCTGGAAATGATCAACGAGTTTCAGATGGCTGCCATGAAAAGTAACTGCGACGTTTACAAGGAGGAAGTGGTGAGGGATGGTGTTGGAATGGTTAGCGTGATCCGAGAGGTAGAGAACTCATTCGAGCTAATCTTGGTGGGAAGGCGCCACCCTGCTATTTCACTATTGTATATGGGACTCGAAGAATGGAATGAGTTTCCCGAGCTAGGGTTTATGGGGGACATGCTGGTGGCATCGGATTCGAGCTGTATGGTATCAGTGTTGGTGGTGCAGCAACAAGATCTTATTGGCTCAGACATGCTGGGTAGCCCTAAGTGTCTTGTGCAAGATTCATCTGCAGTTGTGGATGTATGCCCAGGGACAGTGTTAAAGTGTGGCTAACTCTAATACATAGGCATTTAGTGTAAAAACATAGCCTTATCTTCCTTTGCAGATTTCTGATTTAGGCAGAGAAATTGTTGTAAGAATATTTTAACTTCTTACCAGACCTAGGCATAAAATGTAATAACAAAAAAATTAAGGGCGGATGCCCCACTGAGCCAACGGTAGATCCGTCGTCCCTGTGCGTTCGGCTGCATGGAATTGGAGCCTTGAAATTGAAATTTGTGAAATTAGAGAAAATTTTGATTTAATATTGTAAAATGTTTTCTCCAATTCCACAAATTTTAATTTTAAAATTCGAATTCCATGCAACCGAACACAGCCATGTTGCAAAAGTTTAGCCACATTTTTAGAAATGGTGGAAATTTAGGCTTTTATTAATGATATTTGTTAATAATTTATAGGTATGGTTTTCATATTTGAATTGAAGGAACAATCATAGAGGAATAATTTGCATTTTCTATTCCTTTCAATTCAACCACATTTTACAAAAAGAAAAGTAACATTCGGACAACAGTTTGGAGTCCGAAAACCGAACATGAAAGAGGCCCACCAGCCCCTCTTTCACATTGCCGCTTTCGAACTAACTTTATCCCACATTTAAAACTTCCCAAAATAAAGTATAATGAAATCAAACCTAAGTTAGTAAAACTTTAAAAAATGAATAAACTCATATGAATTAAAATTAATTAAGAATCAAATCGGATCACTCTGTTTTCCTTATTAGTTAATACAACTTCACAACTTATCCTAATAAAATTTACAAACTAGGCCTTCAATGTTGCTGGATAACGAATTAGTAAAATACAACACAGAAACAATTTTCTTTCTTTTTTTGGGTAAAGCAAGGATAAGATTAAATCAAAAATTTTAATTCAATTAAATGGGAAAAAAATAAAAATAAAAATAAAACTAAAAAAACAATTAAGCATTAAATTGAATAACTGAGAACTACTTACCTAAAAAAAAATTACAACTAAACAGTTTTCACACTATGGCCAACTCAAAGACACCATCTTATAAATAGTAATCCAACTGAAATAAACTAATATTGAGTCTTGACAATGGCACCAACACTTCTCTTCATCCTAATGCAACTTTGCATTCTCATTCTCAACCCATTCCAGGGCACATACGCACAAAAATTCCCTGCTATTCTCATCTTTGGTGATTCAATACTTGATACAGGGAATAACAACTACATAAACACTGTAGTCAAAGCCAACTTTCCTCCCTATGGCATAGATTTCCCTGGCAACGTTGCCACGGGGAGGTTTTCCAACGGAAAACTTGTGTCCGACTTCTTGGCCGAGATGATGGAGATCAAAGACACTGTTCCTCCTTTCCTCAATCCGAATCTATCAGCCGAAGACCTACGTACAGGTGTTTGTTTTGCATCGGCTGGATCAGGGTTCGATGAGCTGACTACGGCTGAGTCTGGTGTAATCCCGGTGTTAAAGCAACCTGAATATCTAAGGAGTTACATTCAGAAGCTTAAAACAGTTGTAGGGGAAGAAGAGGCTAGGAGAATAATCCATGGTTCTTTGGTTGTACTTAATGCAGGAACCAATGACATCCTAATTAGTTTCTATGGCAATCCCACAAGGGGTTTTTCATTCAGCCTTAACGGCTACTATGATTTTCTGCTAACAAAGCTACAAACTTTTGTTCAGGTTCTCTCTTTCTCTCAAACATACTACGTATACTTTGATTTATGGATAATAATATTTCCACTTAATTCCAAATGTACAGGAACTGTATGAGCTCGGGTGCCGTAAAATGGTCATCGCAGGGTTACCTCCAATGAGCGTACCGAACCAAGCTGCAGATTCTCAACCCTATAATCAGAAGCTTGTGTCTCTGTTGCCTCGGTTACAGGCATCCCTTCCAGGGAGCAAATTAGTCTATGGAAATATATATGATCCACTGATTGACATGGTCGCCAACCCACTAAAATATGGTAAGCACGACACTAATTGGTCCTATGTATGTATGTATTTATTCAAGTATACGTAATATATGATGATATCCTAGTAGTTCCTACACTGGTGAATGTACATAATTTAGTACTGATCGAAACACTGTAACAGGATTTGTGGATGTCATGAGATCCTGTTGCGGATATGGATTGCGCGGGACAGGGCCTCTTTGCACTCCAAACACTCCAGTATGTCCAAACCCTTCCCAGTTTATGTTCTGGGATATCATTCATCCTACTGAAGCTGCGTACCGGCCCCTTGCAGAAGCCATAAAGAATATAATCGAAACTCAAATTATTGGATACTAACAACGCCTGAGATTAATTTTCAGGTTTCGATTATCAGATAGTCAAGCATTTGATTGTTTTCAGTTAGACTACATCTCTAAATTACGTTTTTACGAGATTTAGATCAGTTGTAATAAAGCTTCAAGGAATCAATAGCGTTCGCATTGAAGCACATGTACCTATACAGTAATCTACTGAAACAAATGAATGGCACAGTTCACCATATAATTTTCTATGGTTTTCTGAGATTTTGGTGCTTTTATTCCTCGATAGGGCAAAATGGAAAATTAAGATTCATCTAATCGACCACAATTGGTAGAATTGGTAAGAATTCACGTGCTAACACGTTCGACTGAGGATATGACCCTTAATAGAGCAAAATGGAAAATTAAGATTCATCTAATCGACCACAATTAGGAAACTACTTTAAGTTGTTGATTATTCCTCCAGCAAGATTATCCTCATCATCAACTGCAAGGTCAATAAGGGTATACCGGCGGATGGGAGGGTTTCGATTTTAAATTTAACATCAGAATAGGAAAAATCAGAAACAAGAATCTAGAAAACACAAACCTAACCAGTTATCAGCAATAATTAGGTAATCCCAAGACAGACTGAAAGTAACTAAAGTTTTCGGAAGAGATTCGAGTTTACTTAGCATTAGTATTCAAAAATTAACATTTCAAGCAGATACATCCATCTACCCACCAAATTTCAGGAAATTCCAACAAAAAAAACTCATGTTTGAAATTTGAATACCATTTCAGCATTTACTATTATACATTGTGTCACCTATATATAACTTACATTTAACTGAGCCAAAAAAACAGGAAATCAAAACAACTTGAGCTCAGACAGATTGAGGGACACAACATAAAAATATTTCATTTACATACAACAAAACCGTTATCAACTACAAACAATTCTACAATAAAACCTTTTATCAACTACAACAAGTCTACAACAAGCATTCGTACTACAACAACACAAGCAATCAACAGCTTACTTGGTTCGCTTTTCACTTCCTGCCACCAGCAGATCCACCAGTTCCCCGAAACAGCTCATTAATCCGAGCCTCAAGATCCTCCACTGTGTACCTAATATGCTTCTCTGCGTGCTTCCCCAACTCCGGAACAACCTGAAACCTCCCGAGGAAGTTGCGATATGCTGGAGACAAGTTCCCGACAACCGAGATCCTCAGCTCCTCTCTCAGCTGCTCATCAAAAATGACCCAATTGGATTGACTCTTACATGTGTCCTCAAAGTACATATTGAATAACTTAAGCTTCTCCTTCAAACCCTTCACTGAAACATTAGAGCCCAAAGAACTATTATTGTCTTGCTTCAACACTCCCAAAGCCTTGCTCCATGAACTTCTCTGGTAATTCATATGACATTGCCGGACCTTCGCCGTGTGTTTCCGAATCCAATCATCGCCTAACAGAGACCCCAATTCACTGTCTTTAACCTTCTGGACAATGTACCTTCCATTGTTCATCATGAAAACAGAGCACAATGCAGGGTCTCGGTAAATCTTCGACTTTGACTCTAGATTGCTCTCCAGTAACTCCATAATCCAAGCCATTTGAACTGACAACGACGAAGCGTCGTCGGGTTTCCGGTAATCACCGCCACCAGTTGGCGGAGCAATGCTTTCCTCAAAGACCTGTTCTAGGGTTTGCCGAGAACGGCAGGCAGCTCGGAGGTAATTCATCACGTACCGAGTAATGGGATGGGGTCCGCCACCGGGAACGGCGGCTTTTGCCGGGTCACGGCGGATTGAATTCTGTAACTCCATAAAAATCCCTCTAATTGATTCTCCTAATCTTCTCCAAATTGCCATCGCTTCATTTCTGAGAACCAAACAGTACTGATCTGAAAACACAACTTCGATTTCAGGCATCAAATCCCTAACCGTTTCGAAAACGTCGAGGACTTTGAACAACCGCTCCGGCGCTCGGCTTCCGATAGCCACTGCGTCTGCGAAATTCAAGAGCTGGATGGTGGAGCCTCTGCAGACCTCCATGAAGGAGAGATCGGCGGCAGAGGAGAAGCCGGAGAAGACGCGATCGCAGAGCCGTCGTTCGCTCGGGAAGAGGATCCGAACGGCGACGTTGACGGCTTTGATCCACCGATCGATCTCGTCTTCGATGTCGGACCAAGGCATCTTGTGAACGTCCTCGATGCTGAGCTTCGATAACCCTAATCTGGACAAGCTCTCCTCCAAGAATTCTCTCCGGCAACTGCTGTATGCATGCGAGCACTCCTTCCCAAATCCGGCGGCCACCATCCGCTTCGCGATCTCGTGTAGATCGTTGATCGTCGCCGACGGGAGTGCGTCGATGACGATATCGAAGTCAGTGATCGGATGAGCAACAGGGATCGGATCGTCGTCGCCGGAACAGATCATCTCACCGTCCTCATCCTCGTCCTTGTCCGAGTCAAACGCGTAATCCGCTCCCGACTCGTTGTTCCGATACCGAGTCACATCAAACGACTCGCCGCCTCGCTCCATCAACGATCTGAACTCGTCCTCAAGCCGAAACATCGCCTGCTGGAGAAGATCGTCGGCGCGGTCGAGACAGGAGGCGACGGGCTTATCAGCGGCCATGGGAGTCCAGTCACGAATGGCAGCCAGCAATTCGTCAACGGCGTCGAGGAAGGAGGAGGCGTCGGCGGAGTCGGACCAGATGGGGTGATCAGCTGACAAGTAGCGGTTGATCTGACGGTCGAGAGACTTGAGGTTCTGTTCCAGAGCTGCACAGGCTCTTGGGTCTTCGTCGGTTAGCTTGTCGGAGAGCTTCTCTCTCAACCTGCCATCGAAATTGGAGAAAATCTGGAGTATGTCGTCGGCCATGGTTTCGTTGTGGCCGAGAGTCTTGGCGATGTGACGAGCCACCGCGATGAGCTTCTCTTCGCCGTTCTCCGCCATGGGAATGGAAGAATTATTCAGTGGTCAATACCAAATGGGTTTTGAGACTTTGATACTATTTGTTCTTGTTGTTTAGGACGTTAAAGACTTTCAATTTATGGTATACAGTACAGTACAACAACAACAACTACCAGAAGTGGGGGTGTGTGCTAGGGTTTTTCTTGACATTGATTGTAGAGAGAGAAAGAGAAATGGAGGAAACAGAGGGGAGAAGTGGGTCCACGGGAAATTCATGGGGAAACGCGGTTTGGCTGAATAAAGTGCGAAAAAAGAACGCGGGAGAAGAAAGACAAAGCAGAGGGGGAAGAAGAGTCGGACACATTCAGAGAAGATGACGTTGAAAGAGACACCAATGTGAAGAAAAAGGAACATAAGGGGCATCCTTTATTTTGTATTTTTTAATATAGATATTATTATCAGTGGCTTTCCCTACTTTTTCCTTTATCTACACTATATTTTGTTGCCACTGTCTATGTATCTGTATCCAAACTGTACTGCTATATCTATATCTGTATCTATATCTATACTACTTAAACCCATTTATAGATTTTTATCTTTTAATAAACTTTTTACAAATAAATTATTGTAAATTAGTATTTATGTATATTTTAACTGGAATAATGTGGAATTTATTATAATCACTTGTTTATTAATTCCAGTTCTTAGCTGTGATTCTCCTCAAAATTTATGATGAAATTAGGAACAATTTAAATTTTATATATATGTATATATATATAATTTTCTCCATTTAAAATTCTGTGAGGTACACAATGTAATTTAAATCTTCTATTTAGATATTGGACTTCTATTCTTTTATATATTTTTAAAATGAAATAGATAAAATATATGTATCTCTTTTCTAATTTTTAATTTTTGGATATAATTTTGGCTCCACTTTATGGTCAATTCATTAGAAAATCGAATCAAACATGGTTTCACATTATTGTCTTTTTATTTTAAATAAAATAACAAAAAAATTATAAACTCATTAATACACCATTTGTTTTTTTAAAATGTTATTATATGTTGATAAAGGTGCTACGACACCTACCCGCGTGGTGTCATTTCTAGAAAGAGGATACACCTGGGTAGTATCTGTCTGGCATTCCTCTAAAAGAAGGGGTCATCACCCTTCACTCTTCTTTGGAGGTACCGCTCCATTCGGATGAGTCCCACCTCTCTTACCCCTTCAAGGTTCCCTCTTACATATGGAACCGAACATTTTAGGCCCTCACCCCTCACCCCCTGAATTGAAGAGGCTTCGGGGTTTGGGGCCAAGATAGAACCTCGCGGGATCAAGAAGGCAGAATCTCGAGGGGGCTCTTTCCCCATCTCTGAATCCGGTAATTTGAAGAAATGTGGACAGGTGGCTGGAATCTAAGGAGTCGCCTCAATTCGGGGTCAATGCAAAGAAGAGAGGATGTTTGATACCCAAGTTACGTCGAGCTTTAGGTAAAAGCAAACAGTACATTAAATGCAAAAAAAAAAAAGGAAAAGACATTTGACAGAACCTACATTAAAGAAGGACCCACATTAAAGAGGGAGCGTCATTACCCGTCAAGAGGGGGGAGAGAGCCACCTGGTCAATGTCCCATCTGCCAGGGGGAGAGGTCCTCAAACCCGTGGGCAAGAAAGGGCTCGCCCCTTTCTTGACCAAAGGCACAAGTAATATAAACAAGAGCATTAATCAACCATTAAAGCAAGACCGTAACACACAGCAACCGACCATTACTACCGAGCTCAAGTTACTTGGGTATTAATTACTGTCTTCTCTCTCCTAATCTTTGACTTGAAAGAATCCCTTATATTGCTTAGATCTCCCTTGGATACTAATCTCAGCATTCTTGGCCTACGTAAAATAATTTCCTCATCCTAAAAAGAACTATCATCAACATTATCTTTTATATTATAAAATTCAACTTTTTTTTTATCTTATTTATTTTCTTTAGTACTTATTTTGATAGTATATTCAACTATATAACAGGTTATCTGATTTTTGAGTTTTGTGTTATAATCGTTCATGGAAAGTCGCTTTCAAGAAAAAGAACCCTAAATGTATAAAACAAAAAAACATAGATCATACCTCCTTCAAACATTCTTGACAATTGAATGATGATGTTGAGCTCTGGAAATTTGAGAGGAAGAAGATGGTGGCCGAAAAGATATAGAACTAGAGAGCAACGTTGAACCTTAAAAATTAAAAAATAAAGAAAAATATTGTTGAACCCTCCTTACCTGATATCATTCAGGTAGGCTTTGGTTTATTTTCTCATTTTTTATTTTTATTTTTCTCACCCGTTTAACAAAAGAGAATGTATTTTATTTTTATTGGACAACATAAACACTGAGGATAGTGTAAATCATCACTAAGTGAGGACCTTGTCCCGATCCTAAATATTTTAGACTTATAAAATCTATACAAATATTTAAACCAAATAAATCAATCATTTGTATCTAAATATGTTACTTAAACTTTTTTTCTAAATCTAAAGATGTTACCTTTATTTATTTTGTTTTATAATTTATATTATTGATTTTCTTTCCAAATTGTTGTGGATTTCTCCTCCAAAAATTATTTCTCTCTCAAAATATGCTTGAATTATGAGTAATGAAATTTTATTTAAATTTAGAAATTTTAAGTGGTTTGATAAAACTCAAAATTAAATAATCAAACATTTCAAGAACGGAATTATAAGTGCTAAAATTTTATGTCCAAATTATAAATTGAGAATTTCATTGATACGTTTTAAATTTTAAATATTTAATAATAAAAATGTCTAACCCATTAGAATATTTAAATGTTTGCATAGTTTGATTATCAAACAACACACTTTTGGTTCGTTTTATTGGTAAATCAAACTCACATTAATTGGAACAAAACCAAGTTGATGGAAGCTTCTAAATTGAACTGATCCAAATTGTAAACAATTAATTTAGATCACTTTGGTTTTATATATTGCCTTACTTAAAAGCATAGTCGAATAATAAATAAGTTTAACCTATATTTAAGTCTTTTCAAACCAATTTAGACAGCTGTTTTTCCCCTTTTCTTTAGCCTACTTGAGAGTGCGTTTTTAGTTTTAAGAATCTTTCACTAAGATAGATGTAACTAACAAGAATTAGAGTATGTTTGTCATGCATAAGACCTTTAAAGCTAGAAATCAGAAACCGATTTTTTCGGATCGCATGGGATAATTATTATATGGTTGGGAATTATATAGTTCCGACTAATCATATATATACACAAATAAATATGTCATTTTTTTTTTTTTTTTTTCTCCTTGTGCGACACTCATAATTAGTCAGGATTATGTAAAAAAAATTAGAATTCTATAATCATGATTAGTAAAAAAAATTCTATAATCGTTTTGTTTTTTTGTGTTATTTTTGTTTTACTTGCGCGGACACTCATGATTAGTTGGGATTATGTAAAAAAAAAAAAATTAGAATTCTATAACACTTGTGTATATATTTGAGATGATATTTTCATTGAGAGATGATATTTATAATTTTATTCTTTTATTTATGAGCTAGAGATAATGTATTATTTCATTTTAAAATGGAGAGAACAATGAGAAGTGCAAGAGAGAACAATGAGAAGTGCAAGTATGAACACTCATTTTATTTTGAATAGAACAAATATAGCGAGTCAATTTGTTTTACTATCGATGTTGAGGTTTCATCAAGGTAAGCCAATAAAAGGTAGGCCAATGGTTTGGTGACAGGACAAGCCGTTTTGGCACCTTTTTCAATGAGCTTGGGTCAACAAGTTTGCTCCATAAATTGGTTCATCTTTATTTACGGAGCATTAATTATATGAAAATTGGACCATGTCAAAATATAAAGTGTATAATTTTCTTCTCGTCTAATCTTCAGTTTAGACTTGGAAAAAAACAAAATAAAAAATTTCTTTGGTTAAGACTTTATATATTATACCCATTTATATCAAAGATGTTGACATAAAACTAATCAAAGAAAATACATAGATAAACTTTCGACCAATAGATTCACATTCTTATATTAAAAGTAAAATCAACATTGATTTAGATGTGGTGTTTAGCAAGAATTTCTAACGATTTGAATTTTGACATCCTTAACAAACATGACACCAGAATTTCATGGTAGACCAAATTTATTTAAAATATTATTAAAGATGAATTTGAATTATTTTATAAGTCACTTTCGCTGCACAGTCGCTCATGTGTCAGCAGTCTATTGATTGCTGACTTTAGCACTTTTTTATCTTCTGTTTTTTTTTTTAATTTTATTTTTATAATGGGTCCCCCCCCCTCCCCACCGTCGAAGTCATGCCGTCCAAGCTGCCCGTCCTCTCCTCGGCTTCCTTATCTGGTTCGTCCCGGAGGCACTCACCACCGCCTACTCTAGCAAAGACGGCTTCGTCCTTTGGGCCCACTGCGCCCTAAGACCCTATGCTGGCTCCCACATGACCACCTGGAAATTCCTCTATAGTGTCATCAAAGGGGTAAGAGCAACCCTAGTGCACCCATTGTTCCCCATTTCATATTTTTATATAAACTATGCAGTTATATCGTCAATTTTATATAAAGTGTACAGTCACGTTAGCATTTGATTGTATACTTATTTTAAAGATTCTAAATTCTTGTTGTGCACTCATTTTTTCATTATACACTTTATTATATTATTATTTTTTAAATAATTATTTTAATCCAACACCATCACACAATATTATTATTTTTATTTTATATTATTATTTCACACACATTCCCACACAATGGCCCACCATTGTGCTGCCCTTTCTGCTCAAGCCAGATGCTACTTCATTACTTAGTTATGAAGAGTGGAGTATGTAATATAAATTAGGCTCCACTAGTGTGTACTCCGCGCGGGAGCGCCATTCATTATACACCGACACACATATTATACACTTTGTCTTGGCGCTGGGGTTGTTCTAAGGATAAGCCACTGGACTGACAATCTCTCAATCCAATAAAGAGGAGGTCATAGGAAGAGCAAGCCTTGACAACCATAATCCATTAGAAAATCTCTTCCATCTTTGCTCCTTATCAGTTATCAGCACATCTAGTTGACAAGGTACTAGTATTCATCACATCTTTATTCCTTATCATCATCTAGGTGACTAGGTAATTACTTTCTCCATGTCTAAATGTGACGGTTATAAAAATACCGAATCATAAATATATATTTTTAATGAATGTATATGTAAAATCAAATATAATAGATAGTTATACAAATGATGATGTGGCGTGATTTTGATTATTAAATGGAGACTCAAAGATTTTGGAGAGAAAATACTCGGAGAGGATCCAAATCTGTCTGTATGTTAATTTCTCTTTGCCCCTCGTATAATAGTCAAAGACAATTCACCTGTCTACAATACATAACCAAACATTTGGAAAGGTTATATATACTTCTCAATCACTTCACTGAAATCACTATTTTACCCCTAATATAAAAAACTGCCCTTGATAATCTCTATACCTTACCAAATTTCTCCGAATTTTCATTATACTTTTATTTCACAAGTAAATACATATTTGATTTTCATTATATTTTACATTTTTCCCCACACATAATTTACTCAATGTAATTATCTTATCCACATAAAAATTTTAGTATAGCCACATATCTTAAAATTGCAATTTTAAATTTTGCAAACAAATTTCCCTTTAATTACTGAGATGAGTAGCCAACAAAGAGTTTTCGATTCAACATACAAGTAATAAAAGCCGAGGCAGTCACTTTTCAAAAAAAAAAAAAAAAAAAAAAGGCCGATTCAGTGCTTGCTGAATATTTCTCAATTCGACCAATATCAAGGATCTATGTTAAAGCTCAAATGAACCACCACGACTTATGGTGATGGAACACGAAGAACTCAAAGTTATTGAAGGCAAAGTTCAGAATTTGATCTTAAATTCAAAAAATATCAAAGATTTATGTTGTAACTTAATTGAAGTGCCCAACTTTTCAAGCTGATACACTCGTGGTTGAGTCCTCCATCTCCTAAGACCTAACAAACAATTGATCCACATCATTTTAAGGTCTCGGGATCATTGACTTGGTCCATGAAAATAGATGACTCACATTATATTAGCTATAATAGTCATTTGACATGTTGCAAGTCATTTTAAACTTAAAAGAAATCAAGTTTAGCACGGGTATAATAGTCATTTGACATCTTGGAAGTCATTTTAAACTTAAAAGAAATCAAGTTTAGTACTTTAGATGACTAAGTCGCCTATGGTTTGACTTAGGCACCTAAGCGAACCAGAAACTAGACGCTATGAAAAAAGGCACTCGAAAAAAAAAAAAAAAATCTGTTGACCATAATTGAACGCGGTTTTGAACGTTCGAGGCTCATATCGTGGGCGTGAATGATAATTAAATCAGTATGTCATTTTGATTTAAATTGTGGAAAACAATTTGTAAAAAAAATTGTGGAAAACAATTTGTAAAAACGCAATTTTACCAAAATATGTTATGCAACCAAACACTGGAAAATAAGGAAAAAATTTCCTAGAAAACATTTTACTTCAAAACAAAATAATTCAAGAAGAGTTCCAAATCAAATCTTCAGTTCAAGCCAAATCAAATCCCATGGCGCGCCAGTCCAACACCCTATTCAGATTTATGTACTTAAGCAGGTCAATCACTATTTCTAACTAAACGTGCTTATTTTTCTAAAATCACTCAATCTGTTCAATTTTAAGCGCAGAATGAGGTTCAACCACGAACAGAGTAGCAGCTAGACAACAGTTGTTATGTCCAGAGGTTGACTCCTTGTGTTACGTATTAACCGTAGGGATACTATTGAGTATGCGCACTGGTTTTATACCAACGCGTAAGAGGAAGATAAACCAGCCTTCAAAACCATGTCAGGGACAATCACTAAGAGATAAACCCTAGGTAATGACACACACAGAACACTTGTAACTACTAAACATTTAAGAGGTAGATAAACCAGCCTTCAAGACCATGTCAGGGACAATCACCAAGAGATAAACCCTAGGTAATGACACACACACACACAGAACACTTGTAACTACTATACATTTAAGAGGTAGATAAACCAGCTTTCAAGACCACGTCAGGGACAATCACCAAGAGATAAACCCTAGGTAACAACACACACACACACAGAACACTTGTAACTACTCTACATTTTGAGTGAATGCGAGAGCTCTGAATTCTAAATTCTCTACCAAGACCACAAGCAATTGCCAAACAATACAAGCCAGTATGCCCAAACAGTCCCAATGTCATACTATTATCACTTATTACCATCTCAACAATCAGGAAATTATTGTGCACCTAGTTGGTTGAATGCTCTCACTTGCCTACCAAAAAAGAAAGAAAATTATAGTGCACCTTCAAATAGCAAACAAGTAGTAAAGAATTTACAGCAGTGAATTTATGCTGCAAGGGTGTGTAACAAAATTTAACAAATACAACTACGGAAAAAATGAAATTCGAAGAAAACTGACAGCTGATCTCCTACCTTTGTTTTATCTCATATTTTTTTAAGAATGTGTTGGTATCGTATAGTGCACATAAAATATAAAGAAAAGAGGAAGTTAAAGAAGCAAATTTACTGTCATAGAGTTCAAGCGCTCTCTTTTGCATACCCACTAGTCTCCTCCGCAACCTTTGCCCACTCATTTCCAATTTTCTCTGTATATGCAACCTGTTGTATCAATAATAAAGTAATGAGCTCAGATTTCAGGGGAGCAAAAAGGACATACAAAGTGCTTACTTATCAAAAAAGAAAAAGAAAAAAAGAGAACATACATAGTACGTAGAAATAGCAAAAAGAAAAAGAAAGGAATGATTGAATGTAAAAAGCCACTAAAGGAGTACAAAGGCATTTCACAAAAATCCCTAAATGCACACGTTATTCATGAGATAACATTCTAATTATATCAGTCTTAGGGGCCAATCCACTTAATTACTATGAGCAGAATTCTAATCAATCTTGAGTGGCAGATTTCTTGTTGATAACTGATGCTCTATGATAGCCAAACCGTCCTCTATGCATACAACCAATAATGCAAAAAAGTTTAATGGTATACAGGGCAGCAGCAGCTGACGTCCTATTGGACGAGAAAGTCTTCCCTGCACTGGTGATAAATGTCATCAGTGTTGTCAAACAATTATATCCTATCACATAAGGAAAAATGCATTTATACTACGTGTCAGCATTCAATTACTTGGTGATACCATCTCATCAAAATAATACGAGCATTAAAGTATTTCTCCTATTGGACATACAATGAAGTAATTAAAATTGCAGGTTCTGAAATTTGTGTAGTTTATAAGTACTGATAATGGAGGTACAGTTTCCTATTATTTTGATGGTAGATAAGAGAAAAGTGGTGGAAAAGAGATTGATTTAAGGTTGTCTTCACATTAGGCCAGGGTGGAAAAGAGATTGATTTAAAATTGTCGTCACATTAGGCCATTAGTTTATTTCAGCTAGCAATAATTACCTAAAGGGAAAAGAAAAGGGACCCCCTCCAAAAAATAAAAAATAAATAAAAAAGAACAACCAACAAGTAAGTTTATCCATGGCATAACTGCACCAGAACGATGGTGGTGTTCTTTTTCAAAGAGGATAATACAGAACACGTATAAGTCCAATAAAGATGGTTATATTCTTTTTCAAAGAGAATGTTCAGAACATGTATAAGTGGCGTGTGTGCACGCGCACATCGTAAAAATGCAAAATTTGCTTTCCTCTTAAACTCATTTCTCCTCCAAGACAAGTTTTTGAAGGTGGTGCCAACTAAAAAATACCAGGGGAAGTTACTTTATAGAAGACCGATAGGCTGCCACAGGTAGCCGAACAAGTGGAAGAAATGATGTTGGTGCTAGAGTCCTCAAGGAGATAATGTGTCACCATTATCAGTTCAACAAAGCATAAATAACTTTTGAGGAAACGTTTTATTGAACATAAAGGAATATACAGAAATAATTATTGGCTTAAAATTTTCTCTTGCAAAGTCTGTCAAAAGTTCGTTCTTAATTTAAACCAGTTTGATTTTAGCTGTGGACAACAACTGTCTTCAAGCATCTATGATTAAACTCAAAATTAATGTTCCATATACTACTGCAACCATCATATAAAGTCATGAACCGAATATACCTGATTGATTACAAATCCCTTTAACATGTTTACAAAGTCGGCCTGTCTTTCTCTCTCAAATCTTTCATGTTCAATCTTGTTATTTTCCTGCATTTACACAATTATCACATGAGATGCAAGTAAATGAAGATGGTAGTTCACAAATTTAATCCATAAACATGTCTTCTTGAACAGCACAACTTTTACATGAGAAGAGAAGACAATTACAAACAGTTTTCAGTTGTAACGAAGCTAGTATACAAAAAAAGTTGGTAATTTTAATAGATAATCCATATATAAAACTAATTAGATTAAACTTTAAAAGCACATAATGCAACTAGTTCTCCTCTCTCCACCCCCAAGCTAAGCCAAATGGATCATGTAACATGTTCAGAGTCACTTCAGACACATTTCTATAGCTACTGTTTCATACTTGGAACCTACGAAGATGTGAAACCATTGAACAAGCATGTAATGTGATGCATATATACAACCAACTTGGAGCCAGGCCTTCTTTTGGCATAGAAATGAAAATCATGGGAAAGACCACAAGAAAACATGATATCACACTCAAATATATAGTCGATGGACATGGAGTAAATAAGATCCATGTGATGATGATCAAAAAAGATAAGATTGATAATCCATGTGAAGGCGAGTTAGATAAAGAAACAAAAGAAGGATATCATCAATTCACAAAGGGAAATATAGGAAATGCTTTGCATAATCAATGAACTTGTTTATCACTAACTGTATTGATCAGAATCAATTCATACTGTCAACCGACAATACATTTTACTTTATCTTCTAGATGTTCTCAAGAGCACTCTTTTCAGCATGTGCACACACCCCAAGTATAAAGCCAAAAGCAGTCAGGAAGCAAAATCGATGGGAATGGGGGTTATAGAGGAAAGATAAAAAAGAGAGAAGAATGAAGGATATAATTCATGGCCAGTGGCTCATGAGATGACAAGGGGGGTAATGAACCATCCTCTTTTCTTCCCCTTTCTGGTTAAAGACACCCAAAAGAAAGATCCTTGGACACGTCAAGGCTCAATTACATTGCTTCATTCTATGACAGGCTCAAATGCACATAAAGCCCTTACACACAATCTTTTTTAGTAGGTTCCAAACCCCAGAAAATCAGACTGAGCTTACAACATATATTGTAAGCAGACTGAGCATATGTTTGTGACCAAGTACATTAGTAGCCTAGTTAGCCATGTGGAAAAACAACAAGGTAATAACTATGTTAAGGAACGACCTCCCAACTTATTTTTAATGAATGAAGCAGTGAAAAAATGGTTATTACTACTGCTACTTGCAATTGCTGACATGTTAGTGCCAAATAAGGTTGTAAATACAATAACATACATATATAAATAAACAAATGCAGCATGCCAAGTGAGGGGAGAATGCTTTAAAATTAAACAAGAGAAACGGAAATATTTGAAGTTGTAGCAACTATAGATTTATTCAATTCATATAGCCATATTGTGCGACCTTTGGTCAGAGAAACTAAAATAAAACTAAAAACAAGAAAGAAGAAAAATCAAACTATTATTGGTAAGAAGACCAAGCTTTTACATATGAAATTAGTTGAAAGCTATGTTACATGGACTCTTCGAAAGTAGTGAAGTACCATGCCGGACACATATTGCTTCGACATGGGTATGGGATATGGTCTGACACTTTTGGTTGGACATGAACTTAAAAAGCATATCCAATAATTCAATTTTATTATATTATACTTTAAAATAAGTGTCTATATTGAACATTGTTACCTAAAGAACTTAAATTTACTCTAGAAAATAAAATAAAATAATTATATAAATGAATATTTAGCAGTGTCGATGTGTCCTTTTGTTTGGAGATTTGACACGTTTGACACTTGGATACATACCCATATCCGATACACGTATCCAAGTCCATGTAACATAGGTTGAAAGAAACACCGAAATAAGAAACTGGAGCTCATAAGGGGGAAAAAAGAAGGATCCGTGGAGAGAGAAAGCAATGGGTTCTCAAAAAGAAAATGATATTAAGTAAATGTAATGGATGTGTTTATTGCCATTAAGCCCTTCTCTTTCTTGCTAGTTGTAAATGTTTATTCAGGGGAAGATCCGCTAATTATGCTGAAGTAGTTTAAGACAATAAAATTATAGTCCATATTAAATCTTAAGTAAATAATACAGTGAGAATTTAAATTAGAAAAATACTAAGAAATCATAATGTATAGAAAATGTCTCCAAACGATCTAAGGGTAAATTACACTGACACCCTTGAAGTTTATGTTAATTATGGGCAGATGCTATGCTTGCAAATGATACTTACAAAACCCTTGATGTTTGGCACGTGGTATCTAAGAACTCTTCGTTAAGTGGAAATTGTCTCAACCTCTAACATCATGCAAAATTACCTGTACACCCTTCGACCTTGTGAAAAGACCTCTATAACACGTGAATTGACTAATTTATCCCCAAATGACTTTCAAGATGAATAAATCTACCATTATTGATTTGTAAACAGTTAAGTTACAAGCTCTATTCAGGAGTGTCGATTAGTGACCTATGATATTATAATAAAGATACAAATAATAAAAATGTTATAGAATATGAAATTATAATTAAAAGCTAATAGAAAAATAATAATAGAGCAGCAAGTGTTGGCTAATGGACAAGAAGCAGCACAGCCGGCAATTCCAAATCACCACAAACACGTACTACACTCATGTTCTTCAATATCTCAGACAAATGCACACTACCAAGTCTTTGTTCAGGTCCGTTGCCAAGATACACGCCAACACAATTTTTTTTTTTTTTTTTGGTAAGTAAAAATTTTATAAAAAAGCGCTCAAAAGGGGAGCGGATCCCAAAGAAACACAAATGCCAGAAAAAGCCTCAAGCCTTCAAAGAGGCCAAAAAAGAAACAATGTCCTCTAAAGATCTATAATCTCTCCCTGAAACCTAACAAAAAAGAATGGAAATAATAGAGAACTTAAGCAAAGTGACAGGCATCTACTTTCCATCAAAATATCTCCGATTTCTCTCCAGCCAAATGCACCACCAAATACAAAGAGGAGTAGCCCTCCAGGCATCTCGAATGAGAGCCCTAACTGAGAAGCCTCTCCAAGCCTCAATCAACCCCCACACTCTTTCAAACCACCCCCCCCCCCCCCCCCCCCCCCCCCCCCCGCGCGGTTTAATCAATTTCGTCAAATGACACCCCAAAACATAATTTATCAGTAATTTATTCTTTAATTCTCTAACATGCATGCTTAATTCTCTTCTGAAAACTTCAGTTAATTAACGAAAGTGTTGATTAATTAATGTATATTGGGTTTATGTTAGTTTGTCAAAATCAAAACTATGATTGGTTGATTAATTAATGGCTCATCGATGCTCAATTAAATGAGTTTCTTCTTTTTAGTCTGGTATTTGGTGTTTAATTATGATTACATTGACTTGATCAACTGATACTCTGTTTTCAAATGTTTGCTCTGTTTGTTTTTCCACGTAAAACAATTTTTTTATACAAAACTCTTTTACATTTTAAAGAATTTCGGTAAAACAATATCCTGTGTTTGGCTTAAACTAGAAAATAACTTCAGAAAAACAAAATATCATTTCTTTCAAAGTTGATATTTCAAAATCAAACCATATAAAGAATAAAATCCTGAAAAGAAAAAGTTGTTTTCTCTTTCTCAGTTTATCCAGCAAAAAAACCCACATCTATATACACTCTCTCACACACATATAAAAGTAACTTGGTAAAATTGGCGTACTCAATTCGAGAGCCTGACTATCATTATATACAAGCGAAAAATTACAAATATAGAAAAGAGAATAAAATCAAATCAAAATAAAGAGAATAAAATAAAATAAAATAAAAATAAAAATAAAATCCCTAAAAATTAGCCTATATTGAAGACCCAATAAATCTGCCATAATCGTTGAGTCAACTTATAGATAAGATTTCCAACACTCTCCCTCAAGCTGGAGCAAATATGTTAACCAAGCCCAGCTTGACTATGGAAGACTGGAGAAGAGAAGGCTCAACAGACTTTGTGAACACATCTGCAGTCTGTTCTGAAGAAGGAACAAAAATAGGATTAATGATACCTGATCGAACCTTCTCTCGAATAAAGTGAATGTCTACTTCAATATGTTTCGATCTTTCATGTAAAACAAAATCAGAAGCAAGCATAATGGCTGATTTATTGTCACAAAACAGCCTTGAAGAACCTTTCTGTACAAGATCCAACTCTCCCAAAATTGATTGAAGCCAAAGGAGCTCACAAGTACCTTGAGCCATAGCTCGGCATTCAGCTTCAGCAGAGGATCTAGAAACAACAGCCTGCTTCTTACTCTTCCATGATATGAGATGATTACTATAGAAAGTACAGAAGCCAGAGGTAGAACGTCTATCTATCTTACATCCAGCATAGTCTGCATCAGTAAAGCATGAGAGTCCAGACTGATTTCCTGAGGCATACAACAGACCAAGACCAGGGCACGACTTAAGGTACCTCAAAATATGATAGACTGCATCCATATGAGTTGAGCGAGGGGCATGCAAGAATTGACTAATCACACTAATAGCAAATGTCAAATCGGGCCTTGTGTTAGTCAAATAGATAAGACGACCTACTAAACGTTGATACACGGATGGATCTGGAAGTAATTCCCCTGACTCAACAGAGAGTTTAAGATTGGGGTCCATAGGAGTGGAAGCGGGTCGACACCCAAGCATGCCAGTATCTTGAAGAAGATCCAAAACATATTTCCTTTGAGATAAAGAAATTCCACGACGGGATCTAGCAATCTCAATTCCAAGAAAATATCGAAGAGGACCTAAGTCCTTCACATCAAAAGACTTTTGAAGATGAAGTTTCGCCTGAGCAATCCCTGAAGCATCACCACCTGTGATAATGATATCATCCACATATACCAATAACATAATGCAACGACCATCAGAGCGACGTCGAATAAAACAAGTATGGTCTGAGTGGCAGCGCACAAAGCCCATGGATAAAACAACATCGCTGAAACGACTAAACCAAGCTCTAGGAGATTGCTTCAGACCATAAAGAGACTTCCGTAGCCTAC